TGTTGGCCCCGTTGCCGTGCCCTCTGGCACGAAATGGATCGAAAAGGTATACCCAAAGACCTCCACAGTTACACTATTTATCTTAACGTATTGTCGAAATCGGGGAAACCTTGGAAGGCTCTGAAGTTATATAGGGAGATGAAGAGTAAAAGATTGGATCTTGATGTTGTTGTTTATAATAGTGTGATTCAGGCTGCCGGGTTTGCAGAGGGGGCGGATAGGGCGGTTAGGGTTTTTAGAGAGATGATTGACTGTGGGTGTCGGCCGAATGTGGTTTCGTTTAATACTGTTATTAAGATGATGTGTAGGGAGGGGAGGTTGAAGGAGGGGTATGGGTTTTTGTATAGGATGAAGAAGGAGGGGATTGAGCCTAATGTGATTAGTTATCATTCCTTTTTTCAGTATAGTGTGAGGCCGAAGGAGATTTTGTGCTTGTTTGAGAGGATGCTTGAGAGTGGGGTGAGGCCGAGGATGGATACTTATGTGATGTTGATGAGGAAGTTTGGGAGGTGGGGGTTCTTGAGACCGGTCTTTATGATTTGGAATAAGATGGAGGAGAATGGAGAGAGTCCTGATGTGTTTGCTTATAATGCAATGATCAATGCGTTGTTGCAGAAGGGGATGGTGGAATTGGCGAGGAAGTATGATCAGGAGATGTTGGCGAAGGGGATCTCTCCTAAGCCAAGGAAGGAATTGAGGACGGATTGCTTGGGAGTGGAGGAGCATGATGATGATGAGAATGCATTCAGTGGTGTCTTATGAGGAAAACGTGTTATGGATTAACTTGATGTTGAGATGTTATAGTGACAGGGGTGAGAATATTTCGTATGATAATTCCGAATGGGGAGAAAAATAAGCTCAATTGAGAGCTCAAGAGAGGGAGGGAGAGGAAGGGAGGATAATTCTAATATTTCTTTCAATGTTTTTGTTTCTAACTTGGGCGAGAGGCGCATGATTATGGCGATGCAATGCTTTTATTAGTGTCTCTTGAGAAGGCAGTTTTTGGTGTCTGTGTTATGGATTAACTAGATGTCATGAAGTTAAGATACATAGCTTGAAGACATTTTATATCATATTCTGATATTTGGAGAAATAAGGTCTTGAATGAGGTATTTCTAATGATTCTTTTGATATTCTACTTTATGAGAATTTTCTATGGTCTTCTACAATCCGTTTCATTGTATCCTCAGTACTTGGGTGGGGAGGAGCATGATGACAGCAACAGTGCACTTAGTGGTGTTTTGAGAAGAATTCTTTTGGGTGTTTGCATTATTGATTTACCAGAAGTTGTGAAGGCAGGATGCTCAGCTTGAGGATATTTCGTATGGTATTTCTGAAATGGGAGAAATAAGCTCCATGGAGAGGTAATTCTAGTTCTTTTTTCAATATTTATCACTATACTCTTTTTTAATCACTGACATTGTATCATGAGACTTTGTGAACAAATGTTAATATGTTTTGTTATCATACACTTACGTTAGTAAAATGGTCCATCTCTGGTTATGCTTCTCGTATCGTATGTAGATTATTATTTTTTGGTAAATGAAACATTTCATTAACTTATTGAGGATGTAATGTACATGCTAGAAACCAGGTATAACTGGTCAAGTACAAAATCTCATCTCAACACATATTACAAGGTCCGACCCCAAAACTTGAGATGAGTAGAAATATTAAAACTACATACCCTAACAATAATATCAATTCTAACATTTTTGACCACAAAATTTACTCCCAAGAGCCCTGCTTTGAAACCTCCTTTGATTTCCCTCATGCCACAATTGCTAAATAGCTGCAGGAAAGCAATTTTTCAGGGCATTAATCTTCATTGACTTTCCCTTAGTATGATGCACAAACCATTGGAGCTCATCCTGGAACTTCGTAGGATCTCAACGTTTATCCATCCACACAAGAAGCTTCTTCCAAACTATGGCAGAGTAGGGACAAAGAAAAAATAGATGTTCAATGTCTTCCTCCCCATGGTAACATAGAGCACATGTACTGGAACTCAATGCCCCAAAATGCATCAGCATGGCTGGCTCAATAATCTCCCCAGTGAGGTAAGCCACAAAACAAATGTGTGCTTAGGCACAGAGAAATTATTCCACACAATTGACATCCAACGAACCACAGGACAGCTACAGAAAAGTTTCTTTATATGCAAAAGAAACATTTTACCTCCAATTTGCCATTCGCCCATCATAGGTACGTAGTTTTTTGATCTATATGTATGCTAGTTTTACCTAAAAGCTCAGTGTCCTATGTGCAGATTAGCTTTTTTTTCTTATTTTTTATCGAAATACAATTTTTTTTGTCAGTAGGATTTACGTAAAAACTATTAGGTTCCGGATGACTTACTTCATGATATGTTGTATTAAAGAAATTACCGTCTTTAAGTTGTTCCTAGTTGAAGTAATGAAGTGTTATGTCTAAGCTGTTAGAAGGGGAAGAAAACTAGAATCTATTACGATCCGGAATCAGTCCCTGGAAGATCACTGTATCAGTTCAAAAGATCATCTTAGGTAATTATAAAAGTGCAATGGAGAAGTGCCTAGAAAGACAAAATCAAAGCACTATCACCGGAAGAGGTGAAAGATCATAAGAGAAATTGCCATACAAAAGATAAGAACTAAACTACGCGTGAAATAATTGAAAGTTTCCTGCGGTAATTGAAAATTAATTGGATGAAAGTATGTTACCCGGGTACTTCTATAATGAAGCTGTACCCGTACCGGACACGTACCCGACACTTTCCCGTACCCAAACTTCATGGACACTTCTTGAATATATGCATGTATTTATTACAACATGTACTCAATTATACGATATGTGTTAATTTAAAACACTTGTCAAAGACTTCCTGGACGTAGAGCTTACACTTCACATCCGTCTTTTGAAACTAATGCGATACGGGTCGGATTCCTTTCAATCCATACCCAAGTTTAAAACTATTTAGTTAATGGGTCGTTTAGATGTCTAGTAAAAAATGAGTAGTTTACAATTTACGATAATCAATATGATAAAAGAAACTCAAAAATGTGATCAGAATTTTAATTCTAATGACACATGAAGGGGAAAATTATCTTATGTACAGTATTAATTCAATATATATATGTAGTCGTGTCCCCGTACCCTACATTTTACAGTTTTGTCGTGTCCCGTACCCGTATCCGCACTCGTACCAGTACTAGTACCTATTTCCATGCAACTTAGGATGAAACTAATACCTAATTGGATTGCGCTAAATAGTGAAACCTTATAACTCTCAAACCAATCATGGTGTGTTCTCTGTGAAAATGTCCTATGAAAATAAGCCCTTTGATCAATATAGAATCTTCTAAAATTGATTTCCACTGCTACATTTATGTTATTATGATATTTGAAGCTACATATTAAGGACATTGTTGTTTCCTAAATGCATGATATAGTTGATATCCGGTTATTTTCAAGTGTTCAGACATGGGGAAATTTCAAAAAGCCCAACACAAGGACACACCCAGATTTATAAATGTACATGCAAGTATGCAATAGACATACATGAGAAGTAATGAACCTAATCACTCAGTTTGTTGTTCAATCATAATTCTATCTTGTACAATTATCAATGTTTTAAATATCGGATGTCGGGTTCATGTCGGTCGGCCAAAATTCATGTCGGATAGCGAAAATCGGGGATATATCGGGGGACATGAAAAAAATATCGGATTGCCATATCGGATAGGTTGATATAATATCATAAATGGAATCTTCACATACTTGATAATTATATTGTCTAAACATATGAAAAAGTACATAACTTATTGATGTTAGGATCACTAACTAATTGTAGACACCTGATTTCCGAGTCGGGTTTTTCAAACTTGACCCAATAAGCTTAAAACCGGTTTTTCTGAAATTTGACCGATATTTCTTGGCCGCAATGGCGCCCGACATACCCGATATTTTTCGATATGTTCCCGACATGACCTCAGAAACACAATACGCGTTGAAATGAAGGATATCGTGGCGGCTAGGGTATAAAACCGTCATATCGACTGTCATGTCCGACATTGCGGCCGATATTTAAAACACTGACAATTATGGCTTGACATTTTTGTACTCTACATATTTCTTAACAAATTCTGTGTCTTGGCAGTCTTGCATAGCAATTAATTAGATGACTATAAAATTTAACTTTGCTATAGGTATACAAAACACAAAGAAAATTGTTAGACCCTAAGGGGGGATGATTAGGGTCTTGTGCTAATCTAATCCAATTTTATGCCAATTAAAACTTATTAATAAATTATTCTTGTAAGATAGATATACAGTATGTTATGAGTAAGAATATGCAATATGAACAAAGGAAAATATCCTAGCAATGAGATATACTATGAGATATATGCGAGGATATACAAATAACATAAGGGTAAACAATCTAAACTAGATAGTGGGCAATATAAGTAACAAGTAATATACAAAGATGATATAAGATATGAACATAAAAATAAGTGCGCTAATGCAATCACAAACAAACAATATGTTCTCGGAGTTCTGTCCCCACGACCTACGTCTCCGCTCCTCACCTCGAGGAGATTTTCACTATCACAACCGGGTTTTCTACGCTCACCCGAATAACGTTTACACCACACAATATCGGTTTTTAACGGTCACCGATCAACGTTCATAATCTCACAATGTAACTACACTCCACACCCTCTAAGTGTTGGTCTCTAGCCCGTGTCCTTCCTCAAGTGCTCGGAAATATCACCTCTCTCTAAGCTTTATTACCGACCCCATTTCTCTTGGAAGTGACCCCGTCTCTCACCACACACTCCTCTCGGTATACTAGTGTAATACAAAGTGAATCTCATAATAAGCACAATACAACAAATGATTGTTCTCTAATATGGATGAGAACACAATATAAGCTCACACTTAATGATACACTCCTCACAATCCAAATTATACTATATATGAAAATACTAGAAGCTCAATGGTTGTGTGTGTAAGCAAAGAGTAAAAATAAATAATTAAACTCAATATTAAAATCTAGCTTATGGAAATTAGAATCAAAACAATAAATAGCTAGAATTGAGTTTAAGGAAACTTCTCTATAGATCAAGAGAGAGAGAGAGAGGGAGAAGAGTTGAATGCTCAAACACCAATGGATGATCTTTCTCAAGCTCTTGTGAAATTATCTCCACAAAACAAACTTTCAAATGCTTAAAAGCTTTTTAAACAAACTTAAACCAAAACTCAACCCCTTGTTAAAACACTCTTAAACTAGTTTAAAACATTTCTCTTTAGTATGAAACTGATGATATGTGGGGGTATTTATAGAAACCCCAAAGCCAAGAGAAAACAAGACAAAAAGACCAAAAACTCAAAACAAAACAAGGCTGAAAAATAGCCGTTACTGTGCAACGGAAACTTTATGGGTCGACTCATAAAAATCATGGGTCGACTATAAAAATCATGGCTCGACTCATACCTTAGCCGTTATAGGCTAAAAACAGCTTATGGGTCGACTTATAAAATTCATGAGTCGACTCATCATGCATGGGTTGACTCATGAAGTCATGAGTCGACTCATCAAAAACAAAACACACTTTCCAGCACGGTTTATGAGTCGACTTATGACAGACATGAGTCGAATCAACCTGTCTGGGTCGACTCATGATGTTATGAGTCGACTCATCAGAAACAAAATATAAACTACATAACAGTTTATGAGTCGACTCAACACTGTTCATGAGTCGACTCAAGACATGCACATAACTTGTTTTAAACAGTACATGTCAACTTAAAACAGGGTTTAAAAATATCAAATAAATTCCAAAAAATATAAAACTTTGCAAAATGATTGTAGACATGATAATAAACATGTTATAAAAACTGGTTTTAAAAAAGCATATCCCAAATGTGAAATCTCTTTATTTTACAAAATAGTCCAAAACATGAAAATGAAAAATACTTGTTTTGATATTTTGACTACACCATGTTTTGAAACTTCATAAACTGATTTTATAGACTTAATAGAAGATGTATATTATGATTGTTAAGTCTATATACGAGAATACACTATTTTCACATATAATCATGAAATATATATATGTGTGTGTGTTGTGTTCATTTTCATGTATATATGGCAAACACATTGTTTTATTAAAACCAAACATTGTAACTATGAAACATGTATGTATGTATATAAATAAATATTTGTTTCATATTTAAACTAGAAAACCATAAAACCAAAACTTATGTATATAACACACACTCTCTCTCTCTCTCTCTCTCTATATATATATATATATATATATATATATAAAAACATGCACAAAGGCCAAAAGAGTAAAACTCTGGGAATAATGACTAGTTATGA